ATGATTTTTGGCAGAGTAATGCATCTTTTACTTTAAAAACAATATGAAATTTTCAGTTTCCGTTCATTATCTCCCCAAAGGTACAACACATTCAACTCAAACTTGACATATGGGGATGCGTCAAAGGAATGCGCAGGTCAAGTTCAAATTTTGTCATGGTTCAATGATTCTTGGCAGCGTTATGCCCGTTTCTCTTTGAAAGTAATATGAAATTTTCAGTTTCCGTTTATTATCTCCCCTATGGTACAACACATTCAACTCAAATTTGACATATGTATATGTTTTTGGAATGCCCAGGCCAAGTTCGAATTTGGTCATGGTTCAATGATTTTTTGCAGAGTAATGCCCCTTTCACTTTGAAAATAATATGAAATTTACAGTTTCTGTTCATTATCTACCCAACAGTGTTACATATTCAACTTAAATTTGACATATGGATATGTCAAAGAAATGGGCAGGTCAAGTTGAAATTACTCATGGTTTGATGATTTTTTTGGCAGAGTTATGTCCCTTTCACTTTGAAAATAATATAGATACATCTTAGGAATAAGCAGTTTAAGTTTGAATTTGGTTGTGGTTCAATGATTTTAGACAAACTTATCTTTCCTGAATGTTGGAAAAATTTTGAACTTTCAGTTTCAGCACTCATGCTTTTAGCCATTATTTTGGCTACAAATATGCAATATGCTATATTTAAAAGGTTAAGACTGAATAATTTCAGAGCCATGAACATTGTATGAAAATGGTTTGTGTTAACATTGAAATGTTTTAAGGGCTTTGAACTTAAAATGAAAAAAATAATTAATGCACCATCTGAAATTTTGGCTGCATGCGGGGGCATCCGTGGCATGATGACACATTTCTAGTTGTATATGATTTTGTGCCACACCTTTTTAACCCTTTGCCCAGCTGAACAGTAAATGATTATCATTTGCCATTTTCTAGTGTAAAGAGCGATCAATGCAAACACTCTATACTTCTGGCTGATCAAGTTGATATCCCTGAAATTGGAAAGTTAGTTATATATTATTTTTACATTAATGAATATTGTCATATTGTGATATATATTCAATCTTTTCCTTGTTAAATATCTTTAAATGGTCCTTCTATCTAAACCATTCATCGTTTAAGGGGAAATCAAAGCATGTTTTTTACTGAAAAGAAAACAGTGCAAGCACTATGTGGTCGAAACTGCTACGTGTGTAGAATCTTTTAACATCTTTAATAGTGTAAGTTGGAATATATAAAAACAACATTTCTATTAATTAAAGTATGTTTGTGCGTCTGGCGTAAAAACACATTGATGGAAATGGCCTGGCTTTTTTAGGAAACATATGTACTCTTGATAAAGAAGTTAGCGGGCCTTTATCTGGGATAAAGTTATCTTCATTTTTAGCATAATTTTATGTTACTTTAAATGGTTCAACGAATTAGAATGCCTCAATCTTTGAGACAGTGTGTATGTATTATGGCTTTCTATAATTTAAATATTGTCAGTTTTTGTTGATGTAACACACAATATCATTTTCAATGTGCCTGTGTTCTAAATGATTTGAATAAAAATGCTAAGTTTTTTGCGTTACCAGTAATCCCAATTTGAGTGCAATAGGGATAGGGTCTTAAATTATTGATATTTTCGTTCATTGTGTATTGCAAACACTAATTTACATAATCAGTGATTTTATTCTCCTTCAAAATGCTAATATGTACTTGAAACAATAACTTATCTTTTATTGCAACGTGTGCTTAAATTGCAAAACTGTATAAATACTGGATATACGGTACAGTCAGTAACAGTTCCCAGTCAATTGTGCACGGAAACTAAACTATCTTTACCGAACAACTTAACGATGTCTTCCGCCGCTTTTCTGAAAGTTGCCGTCGTTGTGATGCTGGCTTTTGTCGGTAAGTACAATTAACTTTACGCATGTTATATTCATATTTGAGCCGCGCCATGACACAACCAACATAATGGGTTTGCGACCAGCAAGGATCCAGACCAGCCTGCGCATCCGCGCAGTCTGATCAGGATCCATGCTGTTCGCTATCAGTTTCTCTACTTGTTATAAGGTTTGTAAGCGAACAGCATGGATCCTGATCAGACTGCGCGGATGCGCAGGCTGGTCTGGATCCATGCTGGTCGCAAACGCACTATGTTGGTTTTGTCGTGACGCGGCTCATTTATGTTATTTTCTTTCACACATCGTTATGACTTGTGTTTAATTGACAATATATCAAATACTAGAGAATACAAACAACCTAAAAACAATATTAACAGTCTTAAAGAAACACTACATGTATGCTCAAATTTGATATTAGAAAATATTGATAATTGCTACACAGTCTCTTTGTAAATATGAAATAAGCATGTTTTGACTTCACATATGATAGATATGTTTAAAATCTGAAACACTATAGGTGGTCAAAATATGAGAAATAGTGTCATTTAAAAAACTGGCAATTTTGGCATTTTTATTATAAGAAAATACCAACTTTGCTTGACCTATAATAGGATGTGCGGCTTCCCATACAGATTATTCATTCTATAATTCAAATTAGATATACATGTATTCAGTAAGAATTTCATGGATTTCTGTGACTATAATATTTCAAATTTTGCATATTTGAAAACAGCATGTATAATACCAATCAAATATTTCTTTAAAAAACTTTAACTCGTGTTTATAGGTGATGAATGATCCGTCGTATCTTAAAATACTGTTGTGTTTTGTTATTGCTTTATTTGTACGTTAAATATTTTTATTGGGTTTTACTTTATTTCATTCAAGCATTCATTGTTGTCTCCATTATTATTATTTTCTTAGGTCCAAGAAATTCTGTAATTTCACCTTTTAAAATCAATTTAAATTTTGTGTCCGGTTAATGTTTTCAAAAAGTTAATAACTGGCCAATTACCGGAACCAACTTTTGCTTCTATTGCATTTTGGCAATTAGTAAAAATATAGTTATTATGTATTTTGATTGGCAGTCAAACTAATACTTTGTTTATTTTTTCAGAATAAAATTATGACAAATAATTTATTTAATTATGACAAATAATTTCACATTCAGTGCTACATTCTCTATATGATCTAAAATGTTCTAAAACTCGTGTTTGCTTTTGCTAAAGAATGAAACAAAAATATTCATTTCTGATGAATAGTGTGTCTTAAGTAAATAGCTAAAATTTTCGTGTCCTCAAGTTTGGAATCATTATTGCTGTATTGTTTTTACTAATATATTTTATCTGTTTTCTTTCTTACCAGTCGTGGGCATAGCAGCAGAAGTTCCATGTATTTGCCAGTTTATTCTCGATCCTGTATGTACAACGACTAACCAGACATTCGCCAACAACTGTACCATGAAGTGCGCGTGAGTATACAAATGTACCATTGATATGAATGTTTCACGTTAGAAATTTGAAATTCGTCTTTGTTTGATATAAAACTTTCTTATTGCCAACAATCAAAAAAGACTTTTCAAGAAAATAATCAAGTGCTAAGTTACCAAACCTTATTTTTCTCTTTTTTGTTTTGTTTTGTTGCGAATCTAAGCTATGTAGTTTAAAATACAGAACTATGTGATCCGTTTGAAAGAAGAAAAAAATAACGGATCAAAAAATATACAGGATGGAGAGCAACCCAACTGTATATTTAACTGACAATACAATTAAATAATGCGTTTGTATGTTTAAGTTAACAAATTTGTATTATTGTTCATAAATAGTCACGAGTATTTTGTTTTATTTTCAGTGGCGCTACATTTGACTATAATGGACAGTGCACACAAAAATGAGAGTAGCAGAAGACATAAAAGATGACATTCGGAAACGGACAATTTCTTATATACTAGTAGTACTTTATCTGCAAAATTTTCTTTTACATAACATAATGCTATGCCCGATGTTGTGTCTATCCGAATTTACATGTACCTTTCACTGTTTCATGAGCGTCTGGTGATCCAGATCGACCGCTTTATTATTATTTCATTTTTAAGCATAATACTATTTGTCACAGTATAATTATCGTTCATTTAACACAATTGTATGTTTTACTATTGATTACAACCATTGATATCACGCAATTGTCCGTATATTTATGTAAAATCCAGTCCCAGGTATAGCGCGCCATACTTGTTGTTGTCGCTGTATGCTCCGTGTGACGTCACATTCTAATCACGTGATACGAGGTACACAACAACAACAAAACGGTTATAGTAAAACCGCAGTAGAAGATCGAGAGCTCGACCGGGTGGTCAGTTAGAAAATGGAGGTAAAATTAACCTGAATGGGTTATATATTTACTTTATAAAGATAAATAAGGTTTTACCAGTCATTGATCCATAATAGAATACCTAATTATTGAATACTATAGATAGATACCCCTTGACCAGATCGGGTCAAGAGTACTAAATTTTTACCTTCTTCTTAAGAAGACTATCAGATACTTGAAACTGGATATATGAATTATATCATTAACTGTATAAGTGAGATTGACATTTAATTGAACCAGAATTTGTCTATACTAAGTTGTTATAATATTTAAGAGAAAACTGAACTTGACCGAATCCGGTCAAGGTATATTGAACAATCTATATTTGTAAATAAACTGTGTTTAATTGCTAATGGTCTGATTGACCCAATATTAAAATAGTGTGTAACTGGAACTCTGTCTTCTGTTGTCCATTTATATATAATTAGTCCCACTAACTCCAAAGTAATTGGAGTTCATGTTATGACCTTTTGAAATCAATACATCCTGACATTTACCTGATTGATTGAAAAAGGGGCATAACATTTGGTGTCAGAAGTGGGATTCAATATCTTCTGCACTGAATTGCTCAGCCTGATTTGAACCGGGTATAGTGATATACTGGAAAAGTAACAGACAACAGAGAATCCGTTTTATTGATTAAATTTTTATAAGACATAGCAAAATAGCATCTGTTCTTGAATTGTGGATCTGTGACTGGTTATTGTAATTGTTTTTGTTTTCTGAAAATAGAAAGTGTATAGTTATAACATATGTAAAAAAAAAACTGAAACATTTTTAGTTAACTGATAGATCTACAAAGTATCTAAACGAAAAATGGAAGAATATCAATATGCATATGATTTTGGAGGTCAAGCCTCAAGAAATAGCTCATTTTCTGACAATGAAAGTGAATTGAGAAATGATATAAGTAAAGATAATGTACAGGGAGGTGAGAATACTTCTGATTGCACCTTAAGCTCTCCCCCTCAGGTAAATTCCCCAGAAAACTCTAGAATACAAGATCTAGAAAGATTCATGGAAAGTCAATTGTCCAATGTTATTAATAAAATCACTTGTTTAGGAAATTCCATACAGAGTGTAAACTCTCAATTACAAAGGAAGTTTGAATCTGTAGAAAAAGAATTATATACAGTAAAATCTAAATTATCTCAAATTGAGAACCCTGACCCAGAAATACAGTTTAATCACAATATTCATAGAAATAGTATTGTAACAAATACACAACAGTCCAACATGCATACTGATAAAATTGGGGATGATCAAGAAACCGCAAGTTCTAGAAATGTAAATCAGTCTATGCATACTGTCTATGAAATTGCCCCAAACTATAGAGCAATGTCCCCAGGTCAACATGGCGGCAACTTGAAAATGAAACCTAAACCATACAATGGTGAGGAAGACTTACAAGATTTCCTCACACAGTTTGAAATCACTGCTGAAATAAACGGGTGGGGTTATTCACAAAAATCTCTATACTTAGCCAGTAGTCTGACAGGTGGGGCACGGTCATTATTAAGTGAAATGAATGAGAGGGAAAGACGGGACTTTAATTCCTTAGAGGAAAAACTAAAAGCTAGGTTCGGCTCTGAAAACAAAGCTGAGGTATTCAGAACCCAATTAAAAACTCGAACCAGGGGTAAAAATGAGACAATACCTGAAATGGCCCAGTCCATAAGAAAAATGACCAGGCAAGCATACCCTACTGCTAGTCAAGATGTAATAGAAGCCTTAGCTCTGGACAATTTCATTGATGCACTCAATGATTCAGATATAAGATTAAGATTAAGAGAAATTGCCCCGAAAAATATATTTGAAGCCGAAAAAACAGCTGTTCGTATGGAAGCACACAGACTAGCAGATAGACAAAGAAGTAAGTTAGTCTGTACTTTAGGTAGTACTGAGAAATCTCAGATTAAATTAGATAATGACATACCAGAAGTAGATCAGAGGCAGGTTAGAGTAGAAAGTAGTTCTGAAAGACATGATAAAGGGTTTAGCCAGAACAACAACTGGAAAAAACCAGTACACAAAAGAATGCATGACCAGTACTATGGTACCTTCAGAACTGGAAATAATAGATCAAATTACCAAAATAGGTTTAATAAAAGTCAAACATATAGGAATGCAAATACTAGTATGAATGGCAACAAGTATAGAAACAATGAAAATTTCTCTCAAAATGGAAAAGTACTTGTGTCACAACAAGGTAAAAGTAGGTTCAATTCAAATATGCAGGGAAACGACAAAGTGTCAAGCTGGGGGGACCGCAGCTCGACAATGTAATAAGGTCTCAAATTGCATTAAACAACTTAGGGTCAGATAATGGTTATTTTGTTTCTGCTTCTATTAATGGAAATGCAATGACTATGCTTATTGACAGTGGTGCAAATGTGAGTATAATAAGTAAAGAAGTCATTGAAAAATGGCCCTATGCATTAAGACCAAACATACAACCTGTTCAAAGTTCTTTACATACTGTAACTGGAGAATCTTCTCCATTCCATGGAAAGATTGAACTTATAGTAGTTTTAGGCAGACAAAAAGTAACACATGAATTTTTAATTGCTGATGTAGTTCAGACTGCATTGTTAGGATTAGATTTCTTAATAAAACATAAATGTGACATAATGTTAAGCAAGGGTTATATAACTTTGAATGGCGAGAGACTGCCTTGTTTTATGAATAGACAGGATTCAAAACCTATGTGCTGTAGAATCGCTGTGACCGAGACAGTTGTGATACCTCCAGAAACTGAAATGATAGTAGAGGGTAAACCTCTAGACCCTTTAGATAAAGAAAAGGCAGGCTTGATTGAGCCCAATGAGAAATTTGTTGAGAGATCAGGTCTCTTAGTTGCCAAAACTTTGGTTAATCCAAATGTAGGTAAATTCCCTTTAAGAATAGCAAATTTTAGTGATGAGCCCTACACAATTTATGAAAATACAGTGACAGCTGTATTAGATCCTGTAAAAGTTAACGAAGAAGTAGCCGTAAGAAATGTAAATTCGGTTGATGTGGATGTCAACAATAATAACATTCCTGAACACCTACAATCAGTGTTTGACAGGTCTTCCATACATTTAGATAAGGGACAAAGTGAAAAATTAAGGGAGTTTTTAATTAAACATCAAAATGTATTTTCAAGAAATGAACGTGATATTGGTCATACCAAATTAGTCACGCACAAAATAGACACAGGTCAGAGTGAACCCATTAAGACTTATCCTTACCGAGTACCCCTTGCCAAACGAAAAGCTGCTGAAGCAGAAATAAAGAAAATGAATGAAGATGGTATAATTGAACCTGCCTGTTCTCCTTGGCTTTCACCAATTTTAATGGTTACTAAACCTGATGGGTCAATAAGATTCTGCTGTGACTTCCGAAAATTAAATTCTGTGACTATTAAGGAGTATCAGCCTTTACCTAGAATTGATGATAACCTTGACACATTGGCTGGTTCCGAATGGTTCTCGGTTTGCGATCTTAAATCGGGATTTTGGCAAATAGACATTGATGAAGACAGCAAACACAAGACTGCATTTAGTTTACAGGGTGGTCAACAGTGGCAATTTTGTAAACTAGCTTTTGGCCTTTCAAATAGTCCTAGTGCCTTTACAAGACTTATGCAATTGGTTTTTAAAGGTCTCATATGGCATACATTAGTCCTGTATCTTGATGACATAGTTGTTTTTGCTAAGACTTTTGATCAGGCTCTGGAAAACTTAGAAGAAGTGATGCAGAGGTTAAAACAGGCAAATCTAAAGTTACACCCCAAAAAGTGTAATTTCTTTCAAAAAGAAGTTACATTCTTAGGTCATGTTATTAGTAAAAATGGTGTATCTACATGTCCCGACAAAGTTAAAAGTGTAAAAGAATGGCCTAGACCTCGTACGGCTAAAGATGTTAAAAGCTTTACTTCTTTAGTCTCTTTTTATCGAAAATTTGTTCCTCATTTCTCGACCATTGCAAAACCTCTCCATGTATTGTCTGAAAAAGGTCACAAATTTGAGTGGACCCCCGAATGTGAAGAATCATTTCAGAAATTGAAATCTGCATTGATGAGCAGTCCTATCTTGGCATTTCCAACCGCAGATGAATATTTTATTCTCGATACAGATGCTTGTGATACAGCGTTAGCTGGAATCTTAAGCCAGGTACAAAATGGCGAAGAAAAAGTCATTGCCTACTATTCAAGATGTTTTTCTAGGTCAGAACGCAGCTATTGTACAACAAGAAAAGAATTATTAGCTGTAATAGCTTCAGTTAAGCATTTTCACCACTATTTATATGGTAGAAAATTCACTATAAGAAGTGATCATGCCAGTCTTAAATGGTTAGCAAATTTTAAAAATCTTGAAGGACAATTATGTAGATGGGTCAATATATTAGAAAATTATGATTATGAAATAGTTCATCGACCTGGTCGAGTACATGATAATGCAGATGCCCTTAGCCGAAGACCTTGTTATGGGAATTTGTGTAAATATTGTGAGAGGGTAGAAAATAGATTTATAAGTGTAAATGTAGCAAAAACTGTATCTGAAACTGTGGATATACAGAAAGAAAATGAAATTAAAGTAGGTCATGACAACCTACCTAGCAATTCTAGTTTAGTATATAAAGGTAATGAGCTAAAAACAAAAAGTAGTAAGTTTGAAAGTCCAGAAATGATTTTATTATTTGTAGTGACAATATTAGGCCTTATAATGTTAAGGATACCAGAAGTTATGATCATGTTCTTACCATATTTGGTAGACAAACTGGTTAGAAGTGTAAACAGGTTTTCCGATAAGTGTGATGTTAAAGGGTGCTTCATAGCAGATAAAGCAAGAGATGCAGATGTGATAGTTGAGAAACTTTCATTGGCTCAATCAGTGAATACGAATCAACGAAAGATGTCAAATGATATCTGTATTAGTAATTCACTAAAATTAGATAAGAAAAAATGCGTTATTCCATCGAAAACACAAATAGATTTAACTAAATGTAGCCAGTCTTCTAATGAGGTTAGTTCTATTGCAACTGACAAGAAAACTGAATTAGATTTAGGTTCTTCGTGTTTAGCATTAGCCACACAAAGTTTTATTACTGATTTAGATATAGGTTCAAAAGAGGTCAGATCTCTATCTGATAAGAATCTAGAAAATGACAGTAAACCAAGTACATCTACAATGAACAAGGTGAGTGTAGAAAATAGAACAAAGACCTGTGATGCAGACAAAGACTCAGATACAAGTAATAAAGGTAGCAATACTGAGAAAGTAATAGATTTAGAAAATATAGATCTAGAATACTTAGCACAGTTACAGAGGTCTGATCCACATATCAGACATGTGATAAGTTGGATAGAAAATAATCAGAAACCTGAATGGAACAGTGTGTCTGGAATGAATGGTCAAGTCAAATATTTCTGGTATAGATGGGAATCTTTGACAATGATAAACAATGTATTGCAACGACAATGGGTAAGTGATGTAGGAAATACTACAGAGTATCAAATAGTTATACCTCAGTGTCTGAAAGAATATGTATTGAAGCAATTACATGATAATGCAACCAGTGGTCATCTTGGTGTTAAGAAGACACTAAGGAAAGTTCGACAAAGATTTTACTGGTATGGGTTGCGAAAAAATGTTGAATTATACTGCAAGAAGTGTAAAGTTTGTGCATCTAGAAAAATGCCTAAAAAGCCATTTAAAGCACCAATGAGACAATTTAATTCTGGGGAAAGATGGGAAAGAATTGCTATTGATTTTGTGGGCCCCTTAGGAAAAACACAAAATAATAATTCCTATTTGATGGTTGTGTCTGACTATTTTACGAAGTGGACCGAAGCAATTCCCCTTCCAAATATAGAAACTGAAACTGCTGCCAATGCATTGGTTGAACATATTATCTCCAGGTTTGGTGTACCATTAACCATTCATACTGACCAAGGTTCTCAATTTGAATCAAAATTATTCAAAGAATTATGCATCCTACTAGGTATTCAGAAAACAAGAAACACCGCTTTTAGACCCCAAGGTGGAGGTTTTATTGAACGCGCAAACAGAAGTATTCTCAATATGCTCACGGCCTTTGTGTCTGAACATAGAAATGATTGGGATAAATAAGTACCTTTATGTTTAATGGCCTTTCGCTCTTCTGTTCATGAGTCTATTGGAGTCACACCCGCAACAATGATGTTCGGAACAGAAGTTAGGCTTCCGATTGATATGGTTCTTGGTAAACCTGAAATAAATAATCCTGCAAAGAAATATGGCACGGATTATGTTGAGACTTTAGAAAATAGAATTACTGAAGTACATGAATTTGCAAGGAAAAAGCTTTCACTTTCAAGTGATACAATGAAAAAGCACTATGACTTAAATAGTAATACTGTTAGATATGAAATAGGTAATCTTGTTTGGTATTATAATCCAACACGTAAAGTTGGAAGAAGTGGCAAACTTGGTAGACCTTGGAAGGGTCCGTATCAAGTGGTTTCAAAAATTAGTGACATTTTGTACCGTATACAAGGTTTTCGAGAGAAAGCCCGTGTTGTTCATCATGACAAGTTAAAACCGTATGAACAATAACTATTTAAACCATACTCTTTGAGTGTTCACTTACCTTCATATTCTTTTTTTTAAATCATTTTCTGAAGTTTGTCTTGTAACGACTTACAGTGGTCACTCTGTACATAAAAAAAAAAATTATATATATATATATATGAATACTGAAAATAACTATGTCTGATTGGATAATAAGAAATGATAAATATTATCAAACATTATTTTTTTTTATATTTTTTTCAGAAAAGATATACATGTCAAATATGCATGGATATGCATTTCACAACCAAGGGTAAATGCAAAGCACATATCATTGAACAGCATAGTAAAGTGAACTATAAATGTGTAAAATGTGCCAAGGTGTTCCTTAGAAATACTCCATCTAATTTCTGTCATACAAGTAGAAATGACTTTACCAGATTTCATACTGTCACGGGCCAGAGAGGCAAAGAGGCAGAAGAAGCCTTACAGGAATTCATTAAAAACATTGATCGGGTAAAAGAAGTTCTCAAGATATAAATGTATACCAAAAACAAGCCTCACCACCAAAAAGACTTTGTGTTAGAGAACGGTCACTTTCGTCAACCGACACATCTAGATCATCTAGCAGCAACAGCAGTAGTAGCAGCAACAGCAGTAGTAGCAGCAACAGCAGTAGTAGCAGTAGTAATGACATTGAAATTGACAAACTAGAGGAAAGTGTAGTAGAGGTAAATATTATGAGTGACAATAGACAACAGGAAAGAGAATTTTTAAGAAGGAGGTTAGCAGAGGAAAAGAAAAAGATAGAAGCTGAAGATAAAAGAAAAGAAGAAGAAAGGAAAGAAAGATTGAGAATCGAGTCGGATGTAAGAGAAACAGAGAGAAGAATATATATTGAATTAAAGAAGCAAGAGGAGGAAGATAGACAGAAGAAAGAGGAGGAAGATAGACAGAAGAAAATGGAGGAAGATAGAAAGAAGAAAATGGAGGAAGAAAGACAGAAGAAAGAGGAGGAAGATAGACAGAAGAAAATGGAGGAAGATAGAAAGAAGAAAGAGGAGGAAGATAGACAGAAGAAAATGGAGGAAGATAGAAAGAAGAAAGAGGAGGAAGATATACAGAAGAAAATGGAGGAAGATAGAAAGAAGAAAGAGGAAGAAAGACAGAAGAAAATGGAGGAAGATAGAAAGAAGAAAGAGAAGGAAGATAGACAGAAGAAAGAGGAAGAAGATAGACAGAAGAAAGAGGAGGAAGATAAGCAGAAGAAAATGGAGGAAGATAGAAAGAAGAAAGAGGAGGAAGATAGACAGAAGAAAATGGAGGAAGATAGACAGAAGAAAATGGAGGAAGATAGAAAAAAGAAAGAGAAGGTAGATAGACAGAAGGAAGATGAAGAGAATAGAAAGAAGAAAGAGGATAGAAAGGAAGAAGGAAATAGAAAGAAAGAGGAAGATAGAAAAATAGATGAAGAAAATATACAGAAGAAAGTAGAAGATAGAAAGAATATAAATGGGAAAAATAGAAAAGAGGAAGAACATGGAGAAAAAGATGAAGAGAATCAAAATGAAGATGATAGGAAGGAGGAAAATGATAAGAAATATAAAAAAGAGAATGAACATAGTGAAGGAAAATATAAAAAGGAACATGAGGAGAAAAATATAAAAAAGAAAGACGATGTGAGCAAAAATAAAATTAAAGAAAGAATAAAACAAATTAAAAAGGACAATGAAAATAAAATTATCTTGAACATAGGAGGAAAACAATTTTATACATGTAGAAATACATTAAGAAGCACGGATGGACTTTTGAAATGTCTTGCCGATGAGAAAGAATCTGAATTTTTTATAGATAGGGAATATAACATATTTTTTATCATATTAAATTATCTTAGATACTGTAGAGAGAATGAAACTCTGAAAAAGAGCAACTTACCAAATACCTCAGTAGAGCTAAGACAACTGATTATTGAAGCCAAATATTATTTATTACCAAAACTTGAAAAATTAGCGCGAGAGAAATTAGGTGAACTGTGAATGAGTTATTATGAGAAAATGATATGTAAGAGGAGAACCAGTCTCAGTCTTGATAATGAAGAAGAATTCCAGGAACAGATGAAGAAAAGAAATTTTTTATGTACAATCAATAATTATTGAATAATAATTTATGTATAACTTACCGATTTCTTTTTAGGTAACTTCATTTTCCCTTAATTAAGTATTATTGTCTGAAAATTAAGAAATAAGCATTGCATTAGTACATTACAATGAATAGTAATCTAGCTATGTAAAGTATAATTACTAAAAATTTTAAAAAAAAAGAAGTAAATTTTTCATCGCGATATTTAGTAACATATGAAGGAAATATACTGGACATGGCTCTTATTGAAAAATATTGTACATGCTGTAATCGTTTAAATTTACAAAGCTATTTTTATATGAAGACATGGAAGATATTTTATTAAAGCTGTTGAGTGAAAAATTTGAATTATTCAGTATATGTAAATTTTTATGCTTAATATAATATATATATTATTCTATGTGAGATGAACTTTCATATATACTTGTTCATTGACATCAAAATAATACGTTCATCATCCATGTTCTTTTGATTGATTGTTGTTGTTGATGTTTTTATATCTGCATATCAAAATACATGTACATCCTTGTCCGATGCTGAATTTTTAATCATTTACCACTGCAAGATACTCTAAAAACAAAAACATGAAATGTATGAGTCATGATTGTAATAAGGTCATTTCTTTATTGGTTTTAGATTGTCAGATTAACTGTATTGATTTTATATATATTTGGAATTATTGTTGATTATATATGTATTTGAAATTATTGTTACATAAAATGAACTAAGTTTTACTTATGATAAAAAGTAAATATTCTTCAGCATTGTATTAATAACTTAATTTATTATTAAATAATGTTAATGCATGTTTAAATTTCTGTTAATTATTTTAATTCTGGTTATGCACTATTGATTACACTGAAATATTCATATATGTTTTGTTTTCGGCTAGACACAAACATTTGTAGTTATATTGTTATTTGTAATAAAGATTAACTTACTTACAATCCAAATTGGAGACCAATTCTTTAGTGAGGGGGTAATGCTATGCCCGATGTTGTGTCTATCCGAATTTACATGTACCTTTCACTGTTTCATGAGCGTCTGGTGATCCAGATCGACCGCTTTATTATTATTTCATTTTTAAGCATAATACTATTTGTCACAGTATAATTATCGTTCATTTAACACAATTGTATGTTTTACTATTGATTACAACCATTGATATCACGCAATTGTCCGTATATTTATGTAAAATCCAGTCCCAGGTATAGCGCGCCATACTTGTTGTTGTCGCTGTATGCTCCGTGTGACGTCACATTCTAATCACGTGATACGAGGTACACAACAACAACAAAACGGTTATAGTAAAACCGCAGTTGAAGATCGAGAGCTCGACCGGGTGGTCAGTTAGAAAATGGAGGTAAATTAACCTGAATGGGTTATATATTTACTTTATAAAGATAAATAAGGTTTTACCAGTCATTGATCCATAATAGAATACCTAATTATTGAATACTATAGATAGAGACCCCTTGACCAGATCGGGTCAAGAGTACTAAATTTTTACCTTCTTCTTAAGAAGACTATCAGATACTTGGAACTGGATATATGAATTATATCATTAACTGTATACGTGACATTGACATTTAATTGAACCAGAATTTGTTATACTAAGTTGTTATAATATTTAAGAGAAAACTGAACTTGACCGAATCCGGTCAAGGTATATTGAACAATCTATATTTGTAAATAAATTGTGTTTAATTGCTAATGGTCTGTTTGACCCAATATTAAAATAGTGTGTAACTGGAACTCTGTCTTCTGTTGTCCATTTATATATAATTAGTCCCACTAACTCCAAAGTAATTGGAGTTCATGTTATGACCTTTTGAAATCAATACATCCTGACATTTACCTGATTGATTGAAAAAGGGGCATAACAATATACATGTAGATTCCTGTTGAGTGTGCAACTTTTGAACAGCTATACTTGTGTCCACCTGAACTATAAAATGTTAAATTTATTGACATAAATTACAAAATATCTTCATACAATTGAAGTACAATCAATATACTTAACAAACGATTTTAAATTTATATTAAAAAATCATTTTACTATAACTTTGGAAATGCTGAATTTTTCTTAATTAAACTTTAAATAAATTAGTTAATTTTGTATGTTTCTGCCAGAACTGCTTGTTTCTTTGCTTTTATTTCTAATTAAAACTTTCTTAAAATCTATGCGTTATTTTGTTTTTCATTAAACAGGCTTATTTAATAGCGTTGCGGCTTGCTGTGGGTACATTAATGATTTAAACAGCTAAAAAAGAGAACATATATTGAAAATAAGTACATTGTAAAGATATAAATAGGATTTTCTAATTTTGCGTGTTTGTTATGTAAATCAAATTCAACATAGCATATTTGCCATGTGTAAAGAAAACTTTAATAAAGCTAAAGTACAAGACTTGGACAAAAAAGTAAAAGAAATAATAAACTACAGGCGCGAGTCCAAGAATTTTTGTAAACTGTGGTCAAGAAATTTCGATAAGGGGTCTTCCCAAAACAATCGTACGTTAATCTGACCTGTCAATTTATGGGAAAATCAGTAGAGAAGTGTGACAACTTCGCTGAAAAGCCCAGCGGGAACCTCCATGTTAAAGATTTCACATAATATACCTGAAAAGGTGAATTACCCGAAAGATGCGAACAACATGGTGAAGATTTTTTGGTGAAGATTTTGATATAATTTTAGAGAGAAAAAGCGGCATACTTACATCAGGAAAATTTGGTAAATAAACGAAGTAAGTGTATACGAGACATTGGGAAATCAAATCAACGATAAAATCTAATATGACTTATACAAGTAGTACTTTTGCGCTTAAAATACCGATTTAACAATGGCGATAAAATAGTAAATTAAAAGTTTCTAGTAGCCCAAAACTATCTGGAGCCCCGTTCGGAAGTGAACATAAGAATTGGCTCTTGTGAGCTAAGGCAAGGTGGACACGGAGTTTAGGATTACTTTTATTGCCTTTTTCGGGAAAATCCTACCGTTATACCGATTTGACCATACCGAGCCCTGAATTAGCTTCCGCTTTGGGGTAAATGGTACCCGTCTATAACAACGTAATATACACGTTATTGGTATTTTACAAAACACACCAAACTTAGGTCTTTGTCTTGATGTTGTTCGCTAAACGTGGTAGCAAAAATATGTTACATTGAATCATTGATTCATGTGAATCATAAGTCCATGTTGTAAGTTACAAAGTCAATGACATGTTGTATGTATGAGTATAGATAAAATTTGATTTTTTTCTTTATTTTCATTTCTTGCCACACCATAGAAAAGTTATAATAAGTTAGTTTACAGTAATAATTACATTTCAATGTTATATTATTTACAATTGCACTTTCAACGTATAATTTTTAATTGCAAGTTCGGTGTAGGAATTATAATTACACAACATAATTACAATGAATAACAAGTGTTTCAACCTGATAGTGATATCACGTTTAAATATTAGTGTAATACACGAACACTGTATTCATCCTCGTGCCCAAGAACTGTCGAATATGACGGGGGAAGTTCTATAGTACTAGTTTGTCCACAATCTTTGTTTGATTCTGCTGTATTATCAACTGCATTATCCACATGTATGTCACAATTATTGGTATCATCTCCTTGGTCACTCATTACAAGGCATGAATAGCTTGGTGGTAGTCCAAATGTAACACTTTCTCTAGAACTACTTTGTGACTCATGATCACTGACATTGTCGCTCTCCCTAGCATTGTCATTATCGCCTACATTGTCTGCAGATGTTATTTCAGCGTTATCTTCTTCATTTCTGTTTCCGTGGCTTGTCAAATCATTATTTTCAAAATTCCGTCTTAAATGTTCACTTCCGGTTTTCTCTAGAACTGAACAGCAGTGACAAACGCATTCATACAAGTGAACACCCTGACAAAAACACATGTAAACTGTTACACCTAATAGAAAAATCAGACACGACAGAAAAATATACACACCACTAAATGAAGCCTCTCGAATTTTCGCACTTTTAATATTGGTTTGGTTCTGGCAATTGTTCGTGCTATTGCCGCAGAAGTCAAACACTTTTGAACATTTCAGTGACCTATGAAGACATCTCTTTGATTCAGCACATAATATCTCATTGTTATGACATTTACCACGAAGATCAGGTAAATGATACGTAAACAGTAACAATTTGACCTGTGTACCTGCGTCATGAGGGGTCTGATCTCCTATAACTTCATATTTGACATCCACATACTCGTAACCTGACAACTCCGTTTTTGGAAAAGAATTGCACTTTTTGACGTTCAGTCCAAGCGATGTTATTGTAACTCTAGTTCTGCATCTATGGATTAAGTCGTCAGCATAACCTGCCGCGGGTGACAGAAAATTTATTGCTATACGCGACCCAGGTGTTGTATCTATTCTAAAAATACACGTGAAATTCGTGAATTGTTTTGGCAGTGAAAAGTCGACGAAGACTGAAAATAACTTTGTTCCTATTACGATTGTCTGATCGCAGATACGAGTCCTCGAATCTGAAAAAATAAATAAGATTAAGTGAATATTATCACTTAAAGAGAACATACTATAGAATCATGTTTTTCCATGGGTTCTATAATATATCTTAAGTACGAATTAAGTCTAGTGCTTCTATAATAACATATGTTTTATAGTTAAAAAAGAAGCAAAAATAATAAGAGAAAACTTACAAGTAGCAACAGGTTCCGCGATCGTACTATAACGTGTTATCACACACATATATATCAATCCAATCAAATGATACATGATGGAAATGACAATATTATCAACACTATTGTATTTTAATTTACATATAAATTTTTATTTTTCCTAAGCTTTCTATATCTATATATACGTAATATCTTCTATTTTACGCATTACAAATACCACAATAAGTTGACTTACTTTGTTTTGAAGATGTATCGATGTCATGTAAAATAATGCATCTTGTTCGAATGTTTGTACAAAATTAAATACACGACGATTGTATAAACTGGATAAAAATACGGAACGATAGATCCGTCACACTCAATTACCTAGATGCATAGTCAAATAACTATTGCGATCAGACAAAAAAATAGTATTGAAACTTATTCACTCAGTAATTTAGTTATAATAAGAGTGTATTGTTCAGTATAACAAATTTAAAATCATGTAAGATATTACATAAAATAAAAGTATTGTACCGTTTTTAAGGTAAACATTCATAAGAAGTTCGCATATCTTAACAAAATCAGTACAGTTATTTACTTCAAATATTCAATTTAATGCGTAATAAATTATCTTATATTCTTTTTATGTGATCAACATTTTTCATTTGTTACAGACCGGCTATTTCAATTTCTATTTAAGTTTATTTTCTATTTATTTAAATATGATACGTTTTTGCAATGCATTACATTTTCTCAAGTAAATGCATGTTATGTGTAATGCACAGAATGTCGCATTACATGTAATTGTAGTATAATGCATTACACTGATGAAAAAGCGCGTAAGTCATGCATTACATATGCATTTCTCTGCATTACAAACAAAAAAAAGCAAATTCTACAGTACTCTTCATGATATATGAAAATTGCAATAACTGATATTGCTGTCTTGGGCTATATTGACAAATGTTGATAAAAAAAAGTGTTTACATTTTGTTGTACAATTTAAAATCCGTGACCGTAACGATCTTTATCCCGATGTGATATAATGATCGACCAGTTATCAGAGATTACCTGTCTATTTTGGTACCTTCTGTAATGATGATGTAGGCGATGAATTTCATGTTTTTGCTGAAAGAAAAAATGCTTTTAACGGTATTTTTATATGTTAGTCCCATTTTTTTTTAAAGTAGAATTGTTTACTATTAAATAAATCTAAATAAACTTAGTATATTTATCGAAATTACATCTAATAACATGTAACACTTATATGCACTAATTGCTTGTTTACTTGTAAAATATATACTTTTATACTTTGTTTGCATTTTACTAACTTAATTTACAATATATTGTTGTTCAATCAGAGCTTCTTTATTCAGCTGTTATCCATTAAACAGACCATAAATCCATTATTAAAGTATAAATAAACACATGTTTGACATTTTTAAAAATATGGATTTCTTTGGCATTATGTGCCTTTAAACAAAAAGGATTAACCCAAGGGTATATAGTTTTTATATGTTTATTTCTTTTATAATTATTTCTTTTTGGCTTTATTGTTCCAAATGACTGTCCATGTTTACTATAAATACCTCATTTTGGAGCTCTAGAGTTTTTTAATAGGTTCAGTATGTATCTATCCCATTTACAATTTTATTTGCATGATGTGTACTATAATTTCCTGCATTTTGTTACATTTGAGAATTAATGATACGGAACAATGCAGAAAATAAATTTTTTTTTGGCCGACAAAAAAGAGAGATAAACTTGCATTTCTACATGTAGTTCTATGTGGCTCTACTCGTCCATTTAAAATAAACAAATTATTTCCTTTACAAAATTCTTACATCTTATATATATAGCCACTTAAGATAGTATCGATCGACTTCCTTGTCTTTTAATTTAGAGGGACTTTTTTAAATGGAAGATAAATTCTTATTTATGTCAAACTTTTTGTTTTTAAATGTAGATTTAAAAAAGTAAGAATTTGATATATGTAGTAGAATATGAAGTCTTTCTTTATGATTTTAACTGTTATGTAAGCTATCAAAAGCATTTCATAATGTTACAATATAGATCATAACATAAGTTTATTCCTTTTGATAGATAACATTTGAATTGATAAAAATTGATAGGATCAGTTAGAAATTCCTGATAAAAGACAGTTTTCAGGAACATCAGATATGATTATCAATTTCTATTAGGGATACCAAATATCAACGTCTCTTGGATGCTTGATTTTCTCCACTTCAGTAAATGATCATTAAATATATAACCACCTTAAGCCCGTCTCACACAGAACACGCTTGGGCACACGGATCCTATACGGAATACTCGGTTATACACGGGTTGACACCACTTTACCTGGAACGTCGCCATATGAACTATACTGTGTCAGTGTGACGTAAAAGCACGGTCAATCAAGGTTTGAACACGATTTGCATACGGTTCCAAGTAAGGTTGGTACAGTTAAGTACGATTAAACACGACTTTTACTCGATTTATTCGACTTTCACAGGGTTCATATAGGGTCCCACCGACTTTTGTACGAGTAATGCTCGAATTATCAGACATTTGTGTCTGTTTTGATATGTTTTGCGTGCGGTGGTTGTTGGACGGCAAACTGAGCTGACATCCGAGTCTCTCAATACCCGGGAGACATGAGTATCTTTACAGGTATTGCCGATGGGACCTCCAGCTCATCATGGTCGGCAACGGCAGCAGGCTGGAATTGTTGGCGGGCCTTGATTGCCCTTCTTGTATTCCTTCCGTGCATGTGAGCCTTCTTCTTTGGATGCATTCTAGTGTGATACAGCAAGTAGTCTGGGTAAATCTGGCAGTTGGTAGTTGTGGTTTTCGTTGTACAGTTCGTTCTGACGTAGAGGCCGTGTAAGACCGTACGAGACCGTGTGAGAACGTTTATATCCGAACTATACTGTGTCTGCCATGAATGATTCGTACTTGAACGGTATTTGTCGTATGACGATCGTATGAAACCGTGTGTGCACTCGTGTGAATCGTACCGTCATCGTGTGACATTCGGGTGTTACTCGGGTGTATGATGTAGGACTTGGGGACGATCTCGAACGATTCCATACGATTTATATACCATCTTGACACGGTTGGGCTCACTTGTGGACTACAAATACGGTTGTATATACGGTCTCATACGGTCTCTTACTGCCTTGTACGATCGCTTATACGATCATACATGGACATGACACTCGTGCCAGTGTTTTAAAGGTTTTAAAAATCATACATGGCTTGCAAGGATACACTCGAATGGCCGAGTCTAACTCGGATAACGCCACGGTTGGTTCGGTTGTATACACATGTATATGCCCGCGTCACACTGTCCCGAATTTGACACCAGATGTGCATGCGAATAAGGAATTTTTAATTTCGCGCGAAGTTTGCCCCGAAATAAGTCGACAGTCAATCAAATGCCGAAGCAAGTACGATTCCTACAGAAGGTCACGCGATCGCATCCGATCAACACACGATTCTTACCGAAGGTTACGCGATTGCATCCGATTCGCACACGAAGTCACCTAAAAGATGTAATTTTTTACCAAATAGTTAACACTCAGGACACACGAAGGCCACGCGATGGGAACACGACGTCGTATTGTGAGTACGAAGAGTAAGAAGCCCTTGTAGTTTCTGTACATAGAGCCAGTATTCCAAGGACATGCAACCGCCACATTCTTACCATCTAGAGCACCACAGCAGTGTGGAAATTGCCATCTCTTTTCAAACTGCTCAGCAATGGCAGTCCACTCTTACTTTGTAGTAGGACACTGGATCACCTCAGCAGCAAACTCGGCTTTGATGGCATCGCAAACTTCATGTATTATAAGGGAGATAGTGTTTGGAGCTACTCTGAAGTTGTAGGACAGGCTTTTATAACTGTCACCACAGGCCAGGTGTCGTAGAGTGATAGACAGCTTGATACTAGGAGGAAGAGACTTTCTGTACCATGTGTCCTTTTTCTATATTTTGCCTTCTATCCTTTGCAGGACCTCATCATATAGACACCCGGGAAGTCTTGTATAGTTAAAGAAGGAATTCTCATCTTCTATCTTCAACTCCTTTAGTAGAGTGCTGTAGTGGCCATACTTTTCTCTTCTTTCTCAGATAGCCATTTCCTGACCCACACATATTTCGGTTTCTTCCTTTGCCTTGGTTTGCCCCTGCTCTAAAACATAAAAACAAAATAACATAAGTACATTGTCGAATGCTGGAAAGGCAAATAGTAGGAAATGACAAAACTAAATAATTCAGTATTGTTTTACCTGTAAGAGGCGGTGTTGGACCTGTAACAGCTGCTTATCATGGTTCCATAGGTTTATTAACAGAAGCAATGCTGCTGCCTTCTTTTTCTTGTTTTTTTTTTTTTTTTTTTTTTTTTTTTTTTTTTTCGTCAAAATATGCCACTGTGAAATTTATTGTTAATTACTGCAAATAATGGAACTTTTTTGTATTGTCTATAGAGTTGTGCAGGACTGACTGATGAAGAAGATGTTTTGAGGCAAGTCTTTTATACGTCCACCATGATACATATGATTGAGCCACTCAAAATTACTTCTTCCGCCCACATCGTGGTCCCATCTCGATGGCATCGTACCAAAGTACGATGGCGACATGACGGTATTGCGGGGGCTTCACGTAGTCGTGTTGCCTTCCTTAGACATTCGGGCATCTTCGTATTACCTCCGTATTGTCTTCTTGAGGCGAAAATTGCCAGATGGCACCGATGATTACACGAAGTTAAGACGAATACTATACGATTTGACAAGATGGCTTCACGAAGGCCTTACGCAGCGCAAACTTGGCATACGAACTGAACACGAAAATGAACCTTCGCAATGTCCTCCGGCAATTTTTTGGCATGCCAAAAAATTTAGGAACGCTCACAAAGTTGCTGCCGGAGCCTGAAAAATTTAGCCGGGGGTTATACGATTACAAAAGATGCTCTTACGAATGACCCGATGTTATTACTATCAGATCCGAATTTGAACATTTCTTTATTCGTGTGTCCATCTGGTTCCAATCCCGGGTCAGTGTGACGCGGGCATATTATACGGTTTACACGGGTTGCCAACCGTATAAGCCGTGTGTTCTGTGTGAGATGGGCTTTATTAGGTATAAATAGAGCTCATAGCTGCGAGCAGTCAGTATTCATAAATTTGAATGTTACATGAAAATATTTAAAATGATTTTGATAAACAGTCGCTAAAGCGATCTAGATCTATATTTCTACGCGTTCTGCGTCCGTATTGACTATTTCGTTTAAGAATCTTACTGTCCTTTTTGTTTATATATATTTTTCCCGATCGCTATTAAAAATACATAAAACATCATATAAATGCAATGTATCATTATTAACGTTGTATTTACGATAACTTGACAAAGTGGTGATGCCCTTACCTATTAGGATGACTAAGCTAGAATCTATGTACAAATATATCATTTTCTGGAGTCGCCGAACTGAAGAATACATTTACATGTA